AAGAACTAAAGGTATGCAGATTTTGAACATGGGTCATTTCATTTTTTTCTTTGTTGCCATGTTTTGTTTTATGATTGTGCCATTCTGTTATAACCTACAGTTGAATATGAATCCCATAAGAAGTAAAAGAAACATGTTTTGCCTGCTCAGTCATGTTTTCTAAAAAATGGTACATATATTACCAATTCTCCAAGTGTATGCAAACATTTGAGCACAACTGTATATGTGTGCGCATTGGGAATGTGGGGCTCCCCCCGGACCACCGGGCCCGTGACAACCATCACATTTGTCACACCCTCATGATGGCCCTGAAAGCAGGCACCAGCCACACTGTGCTGGTAGGCATGTGTCTGCTATGTCTGGAGATGGTGCAATGTGAACCCCCTGCCACCTGGACCTCCCCTTAGTACGGCACTGCTATGAATGTGTCACCGATATAAATTTAGGGTCAAATAGTTGCCAGCTTTAAAGATTTAAATAGCACACTTTCAGTTATTTGATAAAGAATGTTTTCTTTATGCAAATAATGGTGGCTGTATGTGCTGGGGCTGTTTAGACTAAGTTCTGCACCATCAATGGATAGATAGATAGATAGATAGATAGATAGATAGATAGATAGATAGATAGATAGATAGATTTTAACAGGCTGTTTGTGTTTTAGATTTGCACAGATGGCAACATCCTACATGAAGTTATTTTTTGTCATTCTCTTGTCATTTTCCTCTCCTCCTCCTAGTCCCTCTCTGAGGTAAGGTATACAATCTGATCCTGAATAATGATTTATTTTAAGGCTGTTCATATGTACAGTGTACATGAGCTAATTGTATATAATTGTGGTTTATCCACTAGATATTTTTATCTACCGTTCAGAGATATAAAACTCTGAGGGAGCTAGAAACTAGATTAATATCTCCCTAGGTGTATTCAAATACTCTTAATTACTTCTTAGATGGAGAAGTTAAACAAAGTTTTATCATCATTCCTGTTATAACTGTTGATGTGATTGTTAACTTGCCTCAGCAGATTGCTATTCCACAAGTTTAGTTACTATGGAGAGATGTCCCAGATGTTTGAATTTTGCCTTGTTATTCACCAAAGGCCAAATGGCCACATAATGAACAGCAGTGTACCAGGCCAATCATTCTGCAAAATCCGGACATTGTTCACACTATTAGACATTGTTCACACTGGGATTTAGTCAGACCAAGGCTGCCGGATGACTAAAGCAGCCAGTGGGCGAATCATTAAAAACCCTCTGCACTGAGAGGGTTTATTATGTGGCGGCAGACATGCCATTGTCCACATACCCCAATTAGTACCTAATCCCTTAGCCACCCCCCTAAAATGAAATAAACGCTACCTACCCCCACCTCACCCTAACAATAGTAAGGGAGACATTAAACTAATACCTGTTAAATAAAAAAAGATCCATTGCTGCCCACAGTCCCATTTTCTGGCTGTGTGGTTTATGGGAGACATGGCTGCATCTTAACTGTGACATTTTTAAAGGCGTTTCTATTCAGTGAAATAAATGCAAAGTGTATAGGCGCTTCAACACAAAATTAACATATTGGGTCTAAATAGCTAGTAAAAAAAAGTGTTCCCCAAGCACTAAAACCATAAAATGACAAATAAAACAAGAAAGAAACTACAACACAGTGTAAGAATAAAAAAATAAACTAATGCTTATAATCCAAATATGTATAGTAATCCAAATTCAGTGGAGAACAGAATATCTAGGAAAAATCATATATTGTAAAACCATTTAAAAAGAATAAATTAAAGTCATGGGATGGAATGACAATCAAAGCAGAGCCATACTAAGCTCCACAGAAACAATCCAAAGGTGCCTATATAGACCTGGAAAAGTATTTTCTTCTAATGGTAAACTGGAATCCAGGAGATGTTAGTGGTAAACAATTTATTAAGGGGGGTTTCCTCAGGTCCAGTGAGAGCAGGTTTCAAAAGGTAATATTAGGATAGGACTTACTGCAGTTCATAGGAGTGGGCTGCTGCTAGACCAGGCTCTGTTTCCTGATTCTTTCTCACCTGCTCCTTCACTCTGTCTTTCTATCATCTGTGTGGAGGTCACACAGAGGAATGGCAAGCTTGCAGATGCCTAGGTACAGCCCGTGGAACCCATCTCGTGGGACATGTTTGAAGGAACAGCTGTCCAAAACATGTAATTGTCCCAGAAGAAATGCAACTTACTGTTGGCAATGGTGAACTTTCATATTTATGAAGCAGGTTAGGTTGAAAGTAGCTACTGAATTCCACTAACGTAGATTTTCTGTACAGTGCCAGGATGTCCCATTTTCAGCAATAAATTGTAGAAAATGATAAAGCCTGGCAATACACATTTCCCCATCACTAACAAAGTTAAACAAAACCAAATGTCCAACTTTTTGTGTCCAGTGCAATCAGCATCTAAAAAAGAACGGTTGCAAAATAACACATACCAGCAGCACAAAAAAGAAAATTGATAATGTCAGTGTCACACACTGTATTTTACTTTCCTCCCACACACTGTCACCCCACACACACACTGTCAACCCCACTCATACTGTCACCCTCTCCCACAGACTGTCACTTCGTCTCACACACTTTCACCCCCACTTATAAACACTGTCACACCCACAACATCATCTTTTCCAACATACTGTCACCACCCCACACACAATCACCCCCTCCAGTCACTGTCAGTCCCTCGCACACACTGTCACCCTCTCTAAGCACTGTCACCCCATCACACACACTGTCACCTGCTCCCACACACTGTCACCCAGGGCCAGATTAAGAGCTCGGTGGGCCTGGTGCTGACAATTATGATGGGCCTAATTACAGAAGCTTATCGACCAAAAACACTAAAACAGTCATCCCAAGCATCATGTATCTGATGGAGATCATGTTGGAGGGAAACTCAAAGGATGCATCTATACGAAAACACATACTCTATGCTAAGCTCTCTCTAATTTATGCTTTCATCTTTCAAGTAAATCCATACCCCCTAACAGCAGTGTCCAGTGAAGCAGGCAGTGAATAGGCAGGGTAAAAGTGTGTGCCACTGGCGAGAATCACGTGACCAGAC